ATAATTTATGATAATTGTTTATAATGGAGAATAACTGTAATATTTGTCGGTATCTGTTAATATTGTTTAAGTTTGTTTTAAACGAAACGCAACAATTTTTAAGTAATCAATTAATAATAGAACAAGCAATATTTCCAAATGATAAGAGTTATATAATGTACGGTAAAATTCGATGAAACTTTCACTAAAAAATAGAAGCGATTAGACAAGAGATTTATTCTAATTGGTGATGTTATTTATTTTACTTGAAAGATAAAATTTTAGTTAATTATCGATGCGATTGTATCATGCAATGGAATGTACAAGAAAATTGTGCCAACGATATTATATAATTTTCAAAAAGAAAGTGGAAACGTTGTCTCCACATGAAACGTACTTAATGATTACAAACATTCATTTATATTAAATTTAGATAAGAAAATATATATGCATTTGAAACTTTAGCAATTATCGTTTTACTAAATTCAGTTTTACTACAAATTATTAAATTATTTCTACAAAAAAAATGAGTTCTGACTTATTTCACCAAGTTTTCGACAAAAAAAATCATTTAAGCTCTTAAATCAATTTACATTGATATTGAAATATGCTTGATAATAGTTTAATATACTTAAATGTCACTTTCTATATGTTATTGGTATATGATAAATACGTGATATATGTGATTGAAATAATGGTTAAAACTGTTTACGACAATTCCAGTTAAGTGAGAGGCGACCGACTTCCGATACAGAAGGTACCATAAAAATAACGATGTAATGTTATTATTATCGTCATTATTATTAAAATATTATTGCAACTGGTTATTAAACATTAGCTTTATGTTTATGGTTTTGCATAAATAAAATGTAACAGCGGTTACATCACGAATGCTCTTAGATCGGTATTGGTTCAATTGTCCGCCTCCAACTGTTTTAATTGCAGCCCTAATTCCAAACAAGTATTGAAGTATGGGTATGGTATGTATCTTGGTATAAAAAATGTATATTCAAATATCGCAATGTATATGAACGTATATATTATACAAATTAAATTCAAAATAGCAATGAAATTTACGAATCTCAAGTAAATTTTACTGCGGTAAATTGTACATATCAAAAGATGTATACTTGTCAGTATAACATGCTCATTTCAGTACATGTTTACATGATGTATACCTTGTTTCGCAAAGATTTATGGTTCCCGTAATTTTCACACATTAGAAAGATTCATTGTGATAACTCTATACTTGTACAATCTAGCTGAATTTTACTTTACAACTAAACTAAAATAGCTTTTTGATATGGAGACGAAATGTATAATATTTAGAGAAACAGTTTCTTCGTGGGAAGTAGAATCAGTCATTTACTTATGTAAAAAATAGTATATATACTTCTTATATATTTAAAAAATTTCTGCATTTGTGTAATTTAAGAAATATTTAACAGATTGTTTATAAAAAATGTTGATTGTAATGTGATATGTTTTGTGATTGACCATTTTCTCTAATGAATGATAGATGTAATTATATTGAACTCTTGAAATTAATGGTTGCTTTATATATTTTGATTAGATATATTAATTTAGTTATTTATTTATAGAAGCAATTAAGTTTTCTTTATTTAGTTAACTAGAACCTTTATGTTAGGTTGTCAAAATTTGAATAAAATGGATAAAATCTAGTTATACCGTGTACACTGCACGTAACAAAAGTGAAACTGAATGTTAATGAACAATTCCATATGCTGATAAACGACACAGGAAGATGTTATACTGGTTTGCCGGATTGGGTATTAGAAACCAGAGCTATTTAACATTAATGAATCTGTGATCTGCGATGGTTAAGCGCGATTACGGGGCGGAGGGCAGCCAGATGTTGGACCAGATAAAGTCCGATTTTGGTTTAATAACCAGGTCTCGGATTATTAAATGATCCCAGAGGGGGACAGACGTACATCCGCGACAAGGAGTAAAGGCGAAGGAGATTAATATGTTACAATCGCAGACAACGTATAATAATGAAAATGCAGCATCCACTTGCGCCGATCGTATCATTTTATCTGCGATATTTATTGCGGCATTCGCGTTCGGCCGCGCAAAGAGATGGAAAGGAAGAGGAGAAGAAGAAGAGGTGAGGTGAGATGCAGGCAGAGAGACCGCATAATAATAGATCGTCTAACATGTGTAGAACATGTATTTAAGCGGCGAGAGAGCGAATTCCCGGCTTCTTCTAATGGCCTTAATGTATGCAATCGGACGGCCCAGGTATTTTAATGTATACACGTGAACGCCGAAACCGAAATCTGCACTGCACGAATCCTCTTCGATCGGACACCACCCTCAGAGTTCGATGAAAGTGCCGCTCATTTATTTAATGTAGAACATAGTTTCGATTCAGATAATGCAATTACTTAGTGCAGTGTTTTATGATATTATTCTGTGGTGACCACTTTCACCAGCTGAATGTTAGAGGGCGCTGATTACATTTTCTCTCTTTGATTGGACACCTCTAAATGTAGGACAGCGTATATCAACTTTTTTGCCACGCGACCCATTTGCGACCTATTCAAAATTTAACTCGTCCTAATTTTGGGCAGTGACCAATAGGTTAAATATAGAAAAATTCAATTACTCAATAGAAACGATTTATGATTGTTTACATTCTTGTTTTTATTACTGATTACTTTTTTGAGTGCTAATTGCATTAACAAAAGAATGATAAAAGTTACTGATTACATTATAATCAAACGTAGTTTCTTTCTTTGCTCAGCAACAACCCAATGTAAAATACTTTTATTTTGAGAATTTAATTATTTTCTAAAGAGTTTTATTATATTATATCGCGGTGACCCTTAAGGAAAGTTCCTTAAGGGAATGATAGAAGTCTGCAATTGTATCCTAAACAATATCTCTTCTTTCTTCGACTCCACCCTCAAACAATCTGTTGGAGGTACGTCATGGCTTTCGTAATCTTTGAGTTATGAGTTACGATGTCACGTCCACTTTCTTTACACGTGTTTTGCCTCAACTGTCGCAAACCCAAACGAACAGAAGGAAAAATGTCTCCTCTTGTATCGCTAATAATTTCCGAGAACTTGAAATACTTGTAAAGAATTATTGCCAATTCTCAAAAAAAAGAAAACGGTAGGAGCGGTTTTTCAATATTGTGAATATTTATGCAAATCATCACTATTGTAATGTATTTCCATTATGTCAGTCCCAAATATTATCAAATACTATTATTGATAGCACATGTTGAAGCAGAACTTCAATAAGTAAAATGTATTGTGTTTTATTGTACAATAACATACAAAGGGCTATTGACTACAGTCTAACTTCAAAGTGTATTACGAAATTTCCAAATATTAACATAAAAGTCGGTGATCTTCATTAAGTTTAGAAAATTTGACATACATTAGTGAATTTTTTTTTTATTAATAAATGTTATTTTTATAGACAATCGAAGATTTAATGAATATATTAGATTTCCAATGAATCTGCCCAGAAATAATATTATATTCAATTATTTCCTGGAAGGAAAGCATTAATTTTTACATCTGCTACTTTTTTTTCAAAGTTTAAATTATCTTTTTGGTTTTCTTTGTATATTTATTCTTAATAGCAAGTAGCATCCGTTTTGCGATAAGATTCGATGGCAGCAAAACAGAGTCGTAAAATGAGAAACACTTCGCATTGCTAACATTCCACCCACAATGTTGTGGGACCATAAAAAAATAAAAGCGTAAAGTGTTACTGTATTTTCGTTTTTTTTCTTCTTCAGATTTTCTTGTCTCTTTTTTTCATTTAAAGTTTTCAACTCAGTAAAGGTCATTTATACTATATCTCGTAAAATTGACAGTATATAGATTTTTAAGAACTTGTAATTTGTATAGCGGCAAGACTTAGTGAAATACTCTTAGCCCAAAATGCAATATATTTTACTGCTTCAAACTTAAGCAACATATGGCATGGATAGTACTTTGGTAACAATCTAGTAGAATAAAAAGGATTTGCTTTAGTCTATAGAAAACAAAACTTCTAACAAATATAGAATTAACTAAAATATGCCATGATTTTAAATATTAATGACGATATTCGTTTGATTACTACAATATTTTTCATTTAATAAAAATATAAAAAAACTACTTAGAAAAGGGGAAACTGCAATGACTATTTGATTTTGATTACTTTTATTATATAACTTTTGTATATGATTATTAATTATAAGAAAAGCTCACTGTATTTTCAATAAATAATTGATATTTGTTTTAAATTATCATAAATACATAATTTTCTATTATTTTATTTCTAATAACTTTTATCCTTTTCCCTATTCGATATGTCTATTTGGAATATATTAATAATTTCGCACTTTCTAAAGGAATTGCGTTTTCAATATACAATTAATCATCCGATATGAAAGATTATTAGTTGGTTAATAGTGACTAGTGAAAGCAATAAATTAAATATTTACTATTAAAGCTATAACTCGCATAGTCCGGCTTCGATCAGTGCGGATTCACTATAATCTGGTTTGGAAATTTTAAAACAAACTAAATTTTAATAACAAAAATAAATTCTCATAAAGTATTTTGCATTTAAAGAGAAGTTTATACTAACTAAACACAATTATTACAAATTTAAATTTTTTTTTAAATCGTTTTCATATGTTTTGTTACGAAATTCATAATAATTCTTAAAAAATAGGTTTAGGTTGCTGAAAATGAATTCATAGTTTTTTTGTAAATGTTTATCTAATTCTATGTTTTTTTCTAAATCTTACCTTTTTTTTGTATATTGCGGAAAATGTTTATAATTTGTATATTTTGTGCTTGAGTATGATTAGATTTTATCAGACTTACATAATACCATTACAATGTACTCTTGATTTGATTAATTATTGTAAAGAAGTTCATTGTTCACTGTTACGGTTTAAGTATTAAAATATTAACATACACGAATGCATGCCCAAATTGGCAATACTTAAGTAAAGTTTTGAGTAATTAAAATTAAGTTCTTACCGCGGCGAAGAGGGCTCGAAGGGATTGTGCAATTCGCATAGTAGCCAGTGCTGGCGAGTGGTGGAGGTCGTGCAAGGGGCGTCTCAACCCTCGCACCTCGGCCGCCCTTATTCCTTCCGGCTGCTACGCTTCTGTCCGCACCATCGTCATCCTCCAGGGCCCAATGTTCCTGACTTCCTCCCAATCGGTAAAGGAGACGACGGATGGATCTGCTCTTCCTCCTTCTGCTGTCGAAGTCGATGGTTGTGGTGAGGTTGCACGCGCGCACACGCACTCACATACACTCGCACGCACCCAACGATGGCACTAAGACGGCGATGCCGATGCTAAGATGCTGATGGTGATGACTATGATGATGGTAGGCAGATGAAGAAGAGCGGCGGCTGCAACCACTACCTGTAACACACGATTCAGAACGAAACGAAACCAATTAATTTCCGACCAACGCATCGCCACTGCTGCTCCTCAACTCCTTCCGACGCCCCCCCGATACCCCCGCATTAACACCCGATAATTATCAATTAAAAAATAAACCGACAACAATCCGGAGGATCGAAAGACCTAAAGGTTAACTCTTCGATTGTTTTATGTGGACCTCCCAAAACACAAACACAATCACCAATTAGAGATTAGGGTAATAGATACCATTCAAAGGGGATCTCACAGAAAACAAACGAATTATGCTTAAAAACCTGAATCTCAATATCATTCTAACAGAAGAATACAATTCTGTTTTATTCATTAAGTTTTTTTTTGACAAAATATAAATTAAAGTTATTTTTCAAAAACAAAAGTTCTGGAAAAAGTTTCATTGATATTTAAATGTCAACAATTTCAATATATAAAAACACAGAATATATCTAGATCTGAAATTAGGGCTAATGATAATCAATTTGATTAAGAATAAAATTATTTTGCAATATATGCAATATATCGTATATATAGTTAATTAGTTTTAATTTACAGTATAAAATGATGTTATTTTCAAAACGTTGTTAAGAAGAAATAAACATGTTTCATAAAAATAAATATTACAAAAAATATATCTAGAAGATTATATTATGAACAATTTGTACATAAACTAAATAAATATTTATACTTATAATTAATTTAATTATTATAAAATGATGAATTCAATTTATTTTATTTACATATGATTATTATTGGCAATAATTAGATACTGACCTAAGTCTTTATGTATAATAGATTTAATTTTATTGCATTTACTATGATTTTAACATATGATAAATTTAGAATCGTAAACAAAATTTCATTAGTTGAAAAGTTGAAATCAAAAGTTATTAGGAGATATAATTGAGCAATACACTACTTTTTAGATTTATTAAGAAAGTACAATAAAAGAGATAATGAAAATCTAATAGATTGGAAGTGTGAGTGTGATCTTACTTTTGGTGAAGGACTAAAGTGAGTTCTCGACGCGCTTTGGATTGATTAATTAGAGGACTGAAGATCGGTGCGTGAAAGTCGGTCCCTTATATACCTTCTAGTATTTTAAATAAAAAAGGAAACCGAAAAACAAAGTCTCATTGAAAACATATAAGCGAGAAGAGAAAGAATGAGAGAGATATACAAGGATCAATTTCCCGGAAATAATTGAGCTCCACCTACGTTGTTTTCTCTCTTTTTTTTTCATCTTCTTCTGTTTCTTAAAAGCAAAGACGTGATGATATAAATTAACCAGGTGGAGGAGGATACCCTCTTCCCCATCATCCCCTATTTACAAATACAACTAATTGGACTATCTGTGGAGGAGGAAATTAATTGGCAAATCTGCGAAACGTAATTCATTTAGGAAATTAATGAATCAATAATAAATTAAATTGAATCAAAAACAACGAGGAAGAATTCACAATATTATGTAATAATAAAGCAAACTGGAGTCGTTTAAATTGAACACAATTTAAAGATTTTTTTAAAATTAAAAGCAAAGAGTCTATTCCAATTACTTTTCAATGACAATTCATTAAATTTAAGTTATCTTTGGAAAAACTTTTCCATTTTTTTTGTTATTGGAAATAATAAAATCTAAATAATTTGGGTGATTCTAATTAGATAAATGTTTAGATGTACGTACAAACTTTTATTGTTGGTATTAAGAGGATCAAAGAATTTAGCATTTGAAATATTTATGTTTTTGTGTTAGACAAGATACCCAGAGTAAGTATAAAAAGTTATGTGTATCTAATACTAGGTATTGCAAGGAATTTATATTGTAAAAAGGACGAAAAGGCGAGTGCAGAACATCGATAAGGCATTCCGATATTGAGTAACGACTGTGTTGTTGCTGTCCGTTTCGGTGTTGACCAAGTACCAAGGCTTGTTGAACAATAAATGATGAAAAGCGGTCGAGGATCGGAATGGGACCAGTTGGTCGTCACCGTCGTCGTCGTCGCCGTGGTGAGTGTGTGTGGTAAATCGTCCCACACGACTCCGAAGCTCGATTAAAGTATCCCAGTGCCATAATTTACGTCGCACAGACTGGATTAGTTTTCGAGATGCAATACAGATTACACGGGATTAGACATACCAGACACTACCAGACGAAGAGAAAGAGGAAGATATGGTGAGAACGAGCGAGAGAGAAAGTGTCGGGCCATAATCCGAGACGACGGCCTGGTGGAAAAATGCTTTCGGAATACGCGAACCGTGCACATCGCAATTGAAAAGCGACTCTTCCTTTCTTCAGACTCTTTCTTTCTTCAACATTGGTGACTAAGGAGGTGGAGGACTCTTCAAGTTCCTTCGCACGAGTTGTTTCGATTCTGTGCAATACCATTTTTGTTTTATTACAAGGTAGTATATGCGCTTAAAGCAGACATTTATGTTATTTAAAGCTGGATTGAGTATAATGTTTTTTTCTGAGTTTTCTTCTTGTTCTTTTTCTTCGTAGAAACTCTAAACCGAAAAACCCGCCCAGAGGAGAGTGGTGTTGCTTCTTTTGAAGAGTGTCAAGGATCGAAAAGTAATATGCAACATTTTTTCGAACGAACGGAGAAGTGTTTGCTTTTCCCAAGAGACAACTGACTGTAGACATACGCACGCGGCTCTCTAGGATATTCCAATTAATGAAGTGGAGTGCCGTTCGTCCTCGACAGGTGAACGGGTAACGCTAGTCTCCTCTGAGTCTTTCCACTTCTAACTGAAGCTTTGATACACTTGCATCAAGAGAAAATTGCCCAACTTATACACTGCCACTAAAAAAGCATTGGCAACGTTAAACGGTTGAATCAATTCGATTCCCATGGGTATCAGATCTAGGGTGTGTCGCAAATGCTCAATGTGAATGTGTTGCACTTATAAAAGCTTGTACTTAATTCCACGAATGTGCTTTCAATTAACAACGTTATTCTAAATGATATACGTTTCATTATATTCATTAAATATTAAAAGTTAAAAAATACATTTAAAAATGTGAATTGTAGTAGATGGTGCTCATTTTTATATGGGTGTAAAGCTGTTAGTAGATAGGCCTGGAAGGTAACACAAGTTCAGCTTGAGCAACTTTCCATTTGCGGTAGTCAGAGCCGGCGAATTTCCCCTCCGAGGAGCGCGCTTTGCGACCATTTTGTTGCGGGTCCCGCTAATCATCGTTAGACACGGAATTAGATAATGGCGGCACCGACAGTGGGCATCGACTAACTATTTCCGCCTCCGCTCTCCACCTTGTCCCCGCTGCCGATAAAACTCCTGCAGCCACCTCCATCCACCTCCGCCTCCTACTACACAACACAGAAGAACAACAGTCGCGCCGCAAACAATAAGCAAATTACAATTAGAAGCAACTATGATTACCATGTGCGACCTTCGCTGACTCCGTCGAACGGCAATAAATCGGGCCTGATTCAATTACGACCGGCGCATACGGATAAATCATGTCCTTCCTAAATCAATCGGACTGTTTCAATTGCGAATATTAATTGAATCCCGCGTGTTATTAATACGGCCGCGCAATTGCGAAACATGAAGAGATGTCTCATCCTCCAAACTCTTCCCCACTACCCGCCTGACACCTCAAGGACCGCCGCATTAATCCTGGACATACATCAAGGCGAGCTGCTGCCAACTCAAATGCACGCACGCCCGTTGCCAACCGCAGCGAATTTCAGTTGCAAATGCGAACGCGAATTATGGTTATCGAAGCACTTCATCTAATTGTAATCTTTTAAAATGGTCATGGAGCCGCTCCAGGCCTGTATTTAATAAATGACCCCTCCTACAAATGGAATTGTTCGCATTAATCGTAACTGCATCATGTTTATAGATACAGTAGGACACTCGATGCGACAAACTCATTTCAGAAAAAATATATAACATTAAATTAAACGTTACAAATTACTCCTACATAACATCAATCATCTTTTAAAATATATAGTGCATCAATTTGCATTGCATATTTGCATTCTTCATAAATAACAATATTATATAACATCAGAATTACGATTTTTATTGATTAAAAAAATGTAGTTGCCAAACTTTGAAAAGTTTTTCAGTTTTTAAATTTTAATACTATATATTATTAAATTAATGCGGGCTTCTGAAAAATATATATATATATAAAATAAATGTTTGGTAATAATGATACAACGCAAAATAATAATGTTATTGGTTACTACTTGGACAAATCACTAAAAGTGAAGAGTAATGCAAACAGATTTTGAAACAAACATTGGAAATTAACAAATTTTCTGGCATTTACTCATTTTAGTCAGAAATTTTAAAATACTATTAGGATAATTAGTAAGATCGTACTAACAAACGGTAGAAGATGGCCCTAGGTGTTAATGCGGCGGCGTTAATGCATTTGTATAGGCTTTATCAGAAACACGGTTCGTGAAGGATGTTTCATGTGAAATATATTTTTAGAAAAAAACAATTCAATTATATATTATAGGAAAATGTCCAAAAAAATAATAAGTAAAATATTTCTACCAACGATTAGTAAAATCAATTTTAAAATCTAATAAAAAAAAAATTCTAAATTACTTTTGCAAAATGTGTATTTATCAAATACTTCATAAAATATTTAATTAGAGACAAAAAATAGATTTTTTTCTGACAAAATACAATTAAATTTAAAAAAAATCATTAAACTGTTCACTCACTACTACAAACAAGTACAAATATTATTTATAATGATTAGTAATCATAAAAACAAAAGAAAACGTATTTAAATTCGTATTATTCACAACTTGAATAATTATATACTAAATTGTGTATGTATATTCATGCTAAATATACTAATCTAATGTAAAATCTAGTCAACTGACCAATACATATGTAAATCTCGGAAGACAAGACACCCACGATTTAGCTGTTTAAAAGGATTTAACATAAAAACACAGGTAATATTATCTATTCAAAAGATATACAGATCG